ATCTAATTGCTTGCTCACATTTTTCTCCCTTTTTGTTTTTAACTTGGAACATCTGTGTTGCTGATATGTTATACTTCTTGAGAGTTTTCAATCGGCAATAATCACGCTTCAGATAAATCTCATTGGTTGCCACCACTACTGTGTGAAGCTTCACAGTATTTCAAATAAAAGAAATTTGACTCCGAGCAAAGAAAGTATTTACCCAAATTTTATAGGTTTTTCTGACTCTTCAGAGTTTGCAATATGTAGTGGAAAAACCACAGCGAAAGAGTGGGCACACCTGGCTTTTCCTGACCTTGGCCCTGGCAGTATACAACCCTGTTGAATCATAAGCTTTGGTGTGATTTTTTGCAAGGATTTCTCCTGCACCACATCTGGAGTGGACTCTCAAATGTCCCCCATCTTCCCAGCCACTTTCTTATTGGAGTCATGTCCACCTCATGTCTATACCACCTAAAAGCCCCCCAGATAAGACCAGGGAAACCTCACTCTGTTCCCTTCCAGTTCATTCCTACCCATGCAGCTACCAGAAGTACTTAAAAAAGATAATCGAGACCTGACCTTCTCTGCTTAGCACTTGTTCTTCCTGGTTTCTCCTAAGTGTCCTGTCTGACCCCATGTACCTGCCCTCTGGTCTTTTGTGCATACTCAGGACAAACACCTTCTAGGCTTTCTTCTTCCCTCTGCCTGGAGTATGCTTCACTCAGTTCTTCTCCCAAATCACCCCAGAGTTGGTATGTAATACATATTAGTTGAGGTAACAGAACAAATGTATGAATAGACCTAAATCCTCATTTGCTCCTTATTGTACTTTAGCTTAAATATTGGGTCCTAAGAGTAGCTTTTCCTACTCATTTTTTTTTTTTTAAAAAGGTATGGCTCCCATTTTCTCACATACACATTTAAATTTTCCTCTTAGCACTCACCAGGATGCATAATTATTTTTTCTTTTTGTTGTTTTTGTGGTTCCTTTGTTTATTGGGTCTTTTCTGTCAGAGTGTAAGCTCCCTTTGGGCAGGGAGGACCATTTTGTCTCTGTGGCATTATATTCTCTGTGCCTAGCATGGCACAGAGCCAAGCATGAAGTTGATTATAATAAATCAACAGAATGAAGTTGATTTGTAACAAAATCAACTGCTGATGCAAAGGAATGAATGAATGAACTCAAATTCTCTCCTATGTATCCTGTTCTTAATGTCCTCCCAAGGCTCTTCACAGAAAGAAAGAGGAGGTTCTTTGAATAGTCAAGAGATGTCACCTTGCTATGATGGCTCTCCTCTGGGGTTGAAAACTCATTTACATTTTAAATCAAGCCATATTCTTTTCAGCCTCTATATGAGAACACAAAGTGTTTGCCTGGCAAATTGGCCCCTAGCTAACCTGCACATGATCCTCTTGGTGAACTTCTATTTGTCCTTCAAAACTCAGTTCAAGTGCCCCTTTCTCTGGAACCATTGTTGATCGCTCTCCTCTTGGTACCTACTCTTCCTTCTGTAGCAGCACACACCGCGGACTCCAGTAGGA